AGCAGCTCAAAAACTAGATCATCGTAAGTATATTTCATATCATGTTTAATAGCACATGTTAATAAATATTTAATATAAATATATGAATATAATTAAATATCTTTTATTCTATTATGAAGATCAGTGGTGGTCATTTTATGGGAGTTCAATTCCGAAATTGCAACAAGTTGCAATATGTATTCTTAGCCAAACATCTTCTTCTTCTTCTGGATGGGAAAGGAACTGGAGCTTATTTAAGCGGATTCACAACAAAAGAAGAAATAGATTGGAACATGAAAGGTTAAATGATCTGGGTTTTTACAAACTACAATATGAGATTAAAAGATAGGTAATATTAAAAATTATGACTTATGAGTGTTTTTATTGAATATTGCCTATTTGCTTTTATTGAATATAGAATTCATTAATGTTTATTTTCATTTTCTTACATTTTGTCATTAAAGGAATCTATTGAACAAGAAGAAGACAAATTATGATCCTATTGATTATGAATCAATTGATAAAGTTGATTTTTGGGTGGTTGAAGATGCAACCCCTGAATTTGATAATCTAGATGTAATAAATTTTGAAAGACTTGCCAATAATGAAAACATTGCAACTACATCAACTTTTGAGATTGAGAGGCATGATGAAGGTTTGTAATAAACTAGTAATATCTTCTATTACAGTTACATTTTTATACAAAAGTGTATAACTATTTTTTTCACATAACCATTAACAATTTAATTATTGTCATGTATAGGTGATGAAGATATGCATATTCCTGAGCCTCCACCTTTGAATGATGATGATATTACTCCAAGTGCTTGTGCTGGTCCTTCTGTAGCTTTTCCTCCTCCTCCTAGTGTCTCAATGCCTATGGATCTAAATGAAGTTAATGACAACTTTGGTGTTGATAATTATTAGTTGGTTTAGTGATTGAATCATTATAGGTACGAATATATATATCTATTTTGATAGTTCTCTAGGCTGAATATTTAGTATTTTGGTGACATAGGATGGTATTATGACAATGTGATCTTATTTTGTTATGTAAAAAAGGTTAGAACTTGAAAATACATTGTAAATATATGATTATTTTATTAGTAACTTAAGGTATTAAATTGATATTGAATTTTTGGATGGTGTGATAAGAATTTATATTATTTTTTAATTTTTTTAATTCCTCACCGGTCTGACCCCGGGTCAACTTCGAGCTGACCCACTAACCCTTGATCCACTGCCTTGACTGGTTCAGTTACTGGTCTAGTTTTCAGTACCTTGGTAATAACAAACGGAGGGAAGAGAAGCTTGTTGAGGCTGGTAAGAATTGAGCTGCATAGCAATTGGTGTAGAAAGTCAGAGATGTTTTATGAAAATGTTACTAGTAACGTGTTCTATGCTATTTCCATAATAACTAGTGTAAAAGGTTGGCTATAAAAATAATGGAAAAAATTACACACAAGTCCTAAGCAATACAATTAATTAATTTGAAGTCTCTTGAAATATCAAAACAAATAGGTCTTATGAGGCCTAAGAGTAATATATTTTAAATAAGAAATTTTGTCATTGTTCCTGTTTCCAATTGACAAGCTCCTGAGTGTGGGTTAACAAGTAAATGAGAAGCTAAAGACAACTCAGGTGTTTCAGTTGACAACTAAATTTGTGAGATAATATAACCTCCACATAAGATAAAGTTATAACAAAAGAGTATTATATAACAATGTTTAAGCTGAAATGAAGTGTGACCAAAGCATGTATATTAATATTAGATGAAATGATGGGTTTGCTTTGTAATTTTATTGTAGATAGACAGCCATTAACAAGCTTATGAGTATGGTTTAACAAGTCATGAGAACTTATTGATAAGTTAGTGGTTGTCGGTTAACAACTAAGTCATTGTCCCAGTCCCCAATTGACAAGCTCATGGATATGAATGAACAAGTTAATGGGAACCTATTGACAAGTACATGGGCTTGTTGTAACTTGTCAAATGTCATACAAGAATTTTTCCTAATTTGATCTTATGTGAAGGTTATATTATCCCATAAATTTAGTCATCAACCAGTACTCATTGACATGTTAATAGATTCCCATTAACTTGTGAATCCATACCCATAAGCTTGTCAATGGTTATCTGCAACATAATTATGATATAAAGCTATCATTTCATCTAATATAAATCTGCATGCTTTGGTCACACATGATTTCAGTTTAAAGATTGTCATATAATACTCTTTTGCTGTAATTTGATCCCACATGGAGATTATATCCTCCCACAAATTTAGTTGTCAATTGACACCCTCTAACTTGTCATTAGCTTCCCATTGACTTGTTAATCCATGCCCATGAACTTATCAATTGGAGACTGGGACAGTTATGTAATTTTTTATTTTAAAATATATCTATTATTATTATAAGGGAGGGGTTTTCGCAAAGCTATCTAGAAGTGTGATAAATGGCATAACGGGGAGGGAGACAGATGCCTTAATTTTTTTTAATCATTTTTAAATAATGAGTTCTCTCTTTTGCAATTTAATAAATCAGTTAATATTTTTTTGTTAACTATAGATTTTAATTACCCCACATTTGTTCCTAAATATTTTGATTTAGCTAGTTTTTTTTTGAAAATTATGATTGTTGGTAACTTAAAAAATTTGATTTAGAATGTTTTATTTTTTCCCCTAAAAATATGTCACCACTGTTATTTTTTACCATGAATAATTATGTTAATTTTAAACTAATTAATTATTAAATTTATTATTTGTGCTGATTAAAATAAATGTCTAACTGACAGCTGTGTTTTGGAAAATAACAATGGATATACATAAAAAAATAAAATAAAATGTTAATTATTATCTCACTATTTATCTCGCATGAAGAATTTCAAAATTCAAAATTCAAAAGAGAGTTGCGCTTGTATTTTTTTTTTCTGGAGAAATACGTAGGTACTCCCAGAGTACCAACTCAACCAAACTCTACCCAATAAGAATGAGGCAACTCAGTTAATTTTTAATCCAGGTGTCAGCTATTTATTTCTATTAATTTGTCTTCGCATCTCTCTCCATTTTTCTATCTCAGATTCCCCCTGCCTCCATCTTCGATCTCCTTATCAGCGACTCTTCACGGGCAATATAATGGCGGCAGCGACTTTCCATGGGTAATGGCCGCAGCAACTTTCCATGGGCAACGGCAGCGGACACTCTCTGCTAACGGTCGTGGTGGAAATTCTCAATATCCATAGATGACTGCAGTGACGATATCCACCGATGACCGGTGTGACAATATCCACCAACGACCATGGTGATTCTCGTCTCTCCTGGCGACTCTCACATAGTGACTCGTTAGAACACATTGATAGGTTGTAGATTGGTTCGGTTGTCTTTTTTACCCCTTTCCACTTTGCTGATCTGAATCATCAATATTTCTGCTTCTTTATCGTCGCCTCCACCACTTGCGATGCAGATCTGAACTATCAATAGATTTTTTTTCCTCTTCTTCCTTGTTCATTTTCTTGGGTTCTTCAATGCCCATAAGTGCTGGCAAATGGTTTCTTATTTATCCTTGATTTTCGACTATAAATTAAATTTCTGGGCTCTTCAATGTCCATGGGTGCTTTGGCTTTTTGCATGGAGTCTAGATCTTATTGAGTTTAGTTTTAGAAGTGCAAATAAAATAACCAGGCACGAAAGATCTTTAATTCAACAAATCCACACAAAACACAGAAGCTGGAGATCATTCATTCAAAAAACCAACTATATAACATGGTTAAAGATAAGACATAAATACAAAAGTGGAAAGAGAGGCGATGACGGGGAACTAGTTTCGGTGCTCATCCATTTAATGAGCACTATAAGCTAATCAGATCTGAACCGTCCATATCTCATTTGGGTGGTTCAGATTTGATTTCATTTTTATTTTTATTTATTCAAAATAATTATTTTAATATGTATAGAATCTAAAATAGTGATGATCTCTTAACTATCATTCTTTCAAAAAATAATTTATTCTATTTAAAAATAATTAATTAAAGATTTTAAATCTGAACCATTCAAATAAGATATGAACGGTTCAGATCTGATGAGCTTACAGTGCTCATCAAATGGATGAGCACCGAAACTGGTTCCCGATGACAGGAAGGATTGAGAATAATGAAGGGAGAGGAAAGACGGGAACGAGGGAGAAGGATTGAGAAAGAATGGAGGGAGGGCAGTAATGGAGATCATAATAAATTGAGCATTTTTATTTTTTAGAAAAATAAATTAATAGAAATGAGTAGACTGACAGATGGATTAAAAGTATTTGAGTTGTCTTATTCTTATTAGATAGGGTTTAAATGAGCTGCTACTCTAAGAGTACTTAAGTATTTCTCTCTCTTTTTTTTAGGTGCAATTGAAGAATTCTAAATTTCAAAATTACCATGGATTTAAATATATTAATGTTTGATGCAAATATCTTTTGAACTTGGCAAGATTTAAGGTATTTAGAAGTTTTATCTACTATGCTTGTATATTGCTGATGGTTATGCCAGTATCTTAAAGTGGTGTGTATAATTTTGTGCTCACTAGTTTTGCGATTGACGAGTTCAAATATGCACGTAGGGTATATACATGATTATTTACAATAATATTTACATTTTAAATGAAAAATGCTAGATTTATTTGTGGTGGGTAGATTGAGGGAGATAAATACCTTAAATTTTTTAATATTTTTAAATAATGAGTCCTCCCTTTTGCAATTTAATAAATTAGTTAATATTTGTTTGTTAGTTGCAAATTTCAGTTACTCACGTTTTGTTTCTAAATATTTTGATTTAGCTAGGTTTTTTTGAAATTTGTGACTGTTGGTGACTTAAAAATTTTGATTTAGTGTGTTTTATTTTTTTCCCCCTGAAAATATGTCACCGCTGTAATTTTTTATTGGGGATAATTATGTTAATTTTGAAATAATTAATTATTAAATTTATAATTTGTGCTGATTGAAATAAATATCTAAATAATTATGTTAACTTTGAATAACAACAGAGATACATGCAAAAAAAAAAAAAATTAAACCAGGTAATCATATTTATATTTGAGAAACTATTTAAAACCCAGAGTATTATAAATAGCAAAACAATGTCATGGATAAGATTTTGACAATGCAACTATTTATTAATTATTAAGTTCGACCTCTAGAATTTTACCATGGATGAAGTATATCATGGGTCACAAAGTATAGAAATTTATGTAGCGGGCTTTATAGAGATCAACATTTTTGAATTACACATTTCAAGATCGTGTCATGTATATATCGCTTGTTTAGGGGTTATACACACATGCATCGCTAATAACGTTCATTTTCTTATTGTAACCGTAGATGAATTTTTTGCTATATAAAGAGTAGGTCTATATATTTATTTCTGTCAGTAAATTAATCTTGTTGGTATCGCATCATCTGTTTTCTCCAACTGTTCACATGGCTCTTGCATTCAATTTAGTTTGCTCTAATAACCCATGCAGACAAAACTAGAGAATCAAAGTTTGTATGGTTTGATTATGGAATATGCCCAGACTCCACTCTCATGAAGAGATATCATCCATAGAAATGATTCTTAAGGACGAGGATGTAAGTGTTTTATTGATTAATTTAGGCATGTACTTCTTGTGTTCTAACAGTTATTTTTCTCCAGGGTGAAAACATTCATGCTACAGTTAAGACTGCCTTCCTTCCACGACATCGCAAGAATTTTGAAGAGGAAAAAATGTACGTGGGGTCGTATTTTTATGCTTCTCCCAATACAAGCTCGTACCAAACCACTAAGCAACCTTTATTTTTTTCCACTTTTGTTCGACCATGTGTGGATGACGGCAAAATAAGTGACTCTTTTTTTTTTTTTGCATTTTGTTCATTCTTTAAAATATTATCAAATCAGTTTGATGATCGATATCTAATTGGTAGGCTATTATATAAGTGTTAGATATGTGATTATTATGTTAAAATTATTTGTGATGAGTTAACTCTATATTTTCTCTATGTTGAAATATGCTTATTATGCTTAAACTTCATTGCCATTCACATTATGTAAAGACAGTTTCTAATCATGCTCCCTTTTGTCATGACAATAAACATATTCAGGGTCAAACTTTAACCAATGTTGGCTTATTTTTATCCCATCCTGTTTTCACACATTGTCAGTTATACGTTCTATTCTAGGGTTTAGAATAAGCATGGTCTCAAAATACTGATCCTTGATGATCAAGGAAACCCCACAAACAAGACTTTCAATGTAGTTTTTAAAGAAGTCTTCTATAATATATTTTTTTTTATGCTTTATTCCACAAGGGCTAATGTAGCATGATGTTACTTTTGCTAAGTTACTTTGTACAAAAATGATATTTAATGTATAAAAAATTTCTTACCATGTACATTTTACATGAATCACTGTACTCGCGTGATCCTGGTTACTCCTAAGTCTAATGGAATCTCCTATTTATTTTGAAATTTCAAGGGACCCTAGATTAATAAATTGTGTTACTTGAGACCTGTGTGTAATCAATATAATTAATAAATCAAAATCAAGTTTGAACTGAGCCATTTACATATGTGGTGTGGCTCCTCTCTACTTTTACTGTTTTGTGAACAGTAACAGCTTCATGAACAGTAACAGGTCATGCATGTGGCTTTGTGCTTTTTTTTTTTAAATTATTGTTAAGAGAATATTTGAGAATGTGTTGATCTCTTTTTTTTTTTAATTTTCCTGCTTCTGTTTATTTGTGCATGTCCTCCTTTTCAAGCATTCATATTTGTGCCTATATAATGAAAGATTCAAATTTCAAATTTTGAAATTCCCTCCACTCCCATTTTTTCATCATCGCTTCTCTCCTTCCTTCCCTTTCTATAAATTTTTTTTTTCTTTGCACGATGCATCCCTCCTATTTTTCTGTTTTTAGCCTGCCTCATTAAGCTTATCGTGGGTCATGCTTTCTCTATTTTTGCCGAACTCACATCCAACATCACTACTTTTCCTGGTTTAAAGGTGGGATTTGCCATGTTCTTTTTTTTATTTCTCATGCGTTTCTTTTTACCTTTTTTCATTTGATTTGTCCTTTTTCCACTCTATTCTTCATCTATTATTTTCCATCACGTAATCCAATTTATACTTCATTGTTCTCTTCGTTTGTGGTTTTTGAGACCCTGAAGTCTGTTGATTTGAATGGACCAAAGTTTTTTAGAGGAAACACGTCCTTTCTTTGATTCATTTGCTTCTTTCTACTCTTCCCATTTCAGATCTGTTTTTACTCTATATTTTTGTTGGATTGTTGGACGGAAATAGTGGTTTGTAGGGAAATTTGAGTTATCAAGAAAGAATACTAACTGACAGTTAATATAATGGTGAGTCATTGCTGGAGAAGTCACTGATGAACCATATCCTCAGTCTTTCTATGTTCTTTGCTTTTCCTCTTTCTTTCTCTTCTAGAGGAATAGAGTTTCAAAGGTTTATTGACTTTGTTTGGAAATATGAGAGCATAAGAGAATCTGGCTTACTCCTCCAAGTGCTGTGGAAACTATTCTAAAAGAAGATTATGAGGGAGTAGCATTCCCTTGTCGAGTCCATATTTTAATTCAATTTCACTAGGTTTCCTTTCCCTTTGGGTCATTCCCTCAACAAGTGTGCCATTAGGACAGATGTAAGCCATTCTTAATTGTACTGGTGAATTTATGATCTCTTTCATTTTTTATTCTTTGAGATTCTGTATAAAAAATTGGATTGCTTGAATATATATGATTGTTTTTATTCATTGTGCAGTTTACTCTTTGAAGTGCAGCTTGTGCCATAGAAGATAATTTTTGGAGAAAGAATCTTTGTAACACCTAACATTTAGTTAGCTTCACTGGAGCTTACTCTCCAATCTTTCCTTTTCTTGACTAAATATTTTTACTTTCAGTTTCAATTGATGGGTTCTTAACTCTTAATTATTACTAAAACTAGAAATACATTTTTAATGTTAGGAATTTACTAAAACAAAATAGAGAGCACATTTTAATTTCATCTTGGTTTTTGGGTAATTACATTTGTTGAGTTATGGCATGATGTGCATATTGTAAAAACTCTTCCTCTAATACATGTATAAAAATCATCTTAAAGCCACTGCTATGATAGAAAAGGAAAACCGTTATAACAATCTACCATAGTAGAAAAGAAATTAGCATACATTTAAAGCTGACAGCGAAACCTGTGGGTCGAAACCCAAACAAAGCTGTTGCATGCAACCAAATCATTTATTTAAATCTATGGGGCCTTCGAGCATCTGGCTCAGGTAACAAAAGATATCAAACATAAGCCCATCCAATTGTTTTCCAACAACATAAATCAAAGTTTCATAAAACATGATAAGGCCTCCGGCCAACCAAATAAGGAATCAAAAGGGTCTCTATTTACACTACTACTATATCAACAAAATATTTCCAAAATGGTCCAATGAGTGGCAATATACAATCCGACAATATATAAAGCACAGGCTAGAGGCATTAAAGCTAACCAAGCTCAAGTCTCTGCATCCCTCCCCAATGACGTACGCCTAAAACCTTCACCTGAAAACATATAAACCACGGGGCGAGACTAAAGTCCCAATAACCAACCTTCCAATTCAAGGTATAGACTAAATACGTGCTTGCGAGGTGTCAAGTAGGGCAGTTAACAAGTAATATTATAAACGATAGCCACAACAATTATGTATGTGCAATGATGCAATCCTATCAACCATATCCCTTACTTTGGGAGATTTTCAAGAGCCGAACTCGGCTTATCCCTCACTAAGGGGGACGTAAGGAGCCAAAAGGCCTATCCCTTACTATGGGGGACGTAAAGAGCCAACCATAATGCATTAATAGAGGTCTTACCACATGGTAGTATCAACCAAGTCTCACACTATTTTCCAACACATGAATCATGCCCAAGTATTTACCAACGAGTAAGTTCGCATTTCATAAATAATTTCAACAAGTGGCATATCTTCCAAAAACTCCCAATACCTTAATATCATGGGAAACCCCACAAGACAATTTCTCTTTCCATATATAAAATACATTTAGAACACTATTTATTACTCGGAGTACGAAAACATAAATCCACTCATAGTACCATAATATCATGTACAAAGGAATAGGAAGAGGTTACCTCTCGCTTGAGTAAGGAATAACAAATCACCAATGATTTCCCGTGCACCAACAAGACTTACAACTAGTCTACACAAGCACACAAACACACAATCGCCATATATTAGTTATCAAACTAATAAAGTGGCCAAAACAACAATTGGAAACACAAAATTCCTAACCTTAACCCAATCTCTACACAATTTCAAAGGGCCAAAACATCTTAGCAACACTCCAAAGCCACAATAGTCCATTACAACCTTGACTACCATCCAAAACATCAATTAGGATTCAACACTTCAAAGACCCACTCTAGGAATTCAATATCTAAACACCTAAAGAGAACAATTCCAGTCTTATTAACATTCTAAACTGATTAGACAATCAATTTAGTCCATAATAACATAATCCAAAGCATAGAACTCAATTTCAACCTCTACATTATCATTCCCATTCATAAATCTTCATTTTCCCACACATTCTAGCTCCAAAACTTCAAAACCTCTACATTATTAGAAGTATTGAATGGACCACTGTCAATGGACTTCATATTATTATTTTTATTTGACATTGTAATTAATTTTTTTGACATTGCAGGGTTTTTTACAGTATTATAAAGGGTATCAAAGAGTATTAGAGAAAGTCACATGGACGCCACAAGCCTTATGACAAATCATAACTTGAAACTATAGGGAACAAAATCAAAATTTGGGCAAATCATAAGAACCAATAATGATATTAACCTGTCTATAAATTATGAAACCTTGTGGTGTGATATTTGGCTTGAGATATGAAAACCAACTTTGTATGAATCTAGCATGCATTTTGATACTCATGGACACACAAGCAAACATGCTTTTTGCAAATCACTGCATGTCGAGCTACAAATTTAGCGGCAAAAGTTGGAGGAAAAGCAATATCTTTGAGGGAAGAGGGAGACTTTCACCCAGAAGAAGGAATGGTGCTAGCAAATGCAACTTCTGTGAGGATGAAGTCTAATGTTGATGAGACTCCCATTCCAAAGGGTTATTTGTGTGCATTAATGTGCATATATCAATTAATCCAAGAAAAATCCCCAAAAAAGGAACCTAACTAACGAAGAGATCTTGGTAGAATTGCCACATATGAAATTGAGCACAATTTTGCAAGGAAATAGCCCACTTGTTTCTCAATCTCAAATGAAAAATTTCTAAAAAGAAGTATTATTATTTGCAAATCATGTGCATTCAAAACCAGTTAAAATGTAAAAAAAAAAAAAAAAAAACCTTAATTTGGAATTTAGTAATTTTCAAATTCCTTTTGTTGGATTTTCCCATTAATTAATGAAGGAACAACAGTTAGATCCCATCATCCAAGCATGGTAGATAGCATTACCCCTGGGGCAGCTAGCGGTTGACATTATATACGAGTCTTAGTTGCGAATTACTTGAAGTGACTTAAAAGGCTTAAATGGCTCATTTTTCATATATTTAAAACTATTTCAACTGATATTTGCAACTCATTTTTCAGCTAAAATCATTGGAACTTAATTGTTATTAAATTAATATTTCAGAACTTAGCTCTCAATCCCTCAGATATTAACTAATTAATCATTCATTCGCACGTGTGTTGAAACTCGCAGCATGCTTTGAAGCATAACTGCTTGGTGTTTGATGCAATCTACACGCCAAAGAAATACTTGAATATTGCAGGGAGCGAAGGAAATGTGCATTGCTATTGTGTATGGCACAGAGATGGTGATCCGCCAAGCCTTTGAATAGTACAAAAATTTCACTGATGGTTTGCCTGGTAATAATTAACATCACTTAATTATTTTGTTTGCTAAATTAATGAGAAGCCATATTAGTCATTTGTGTTTCCTCATATTCAATTTCAGAACCCGAAAAATTGTTTAGAAAGCTGACAGGGAAACATGAGTAATGATCGAGAGGTTTATGCCAACTCAATAAAATGAACTTTTCTTGGTGTGGATATGTATACTTTCTCAGGTCCTATATACATAGGTCGCCTTCTAAAAGAATTTTGTGATCCTAAATATTAACTGAAAAGCTATTTTACGACTATCTATATTTTTTCTAAATTTTTAATATACTTGTGTGTTTGTCTTTCTCTTTAAAATTAAACTTTTTAATTTTGTTCAATTAGCACCGCTGGCTCCTGTATAGAGGCTAGCAGTGCTAAGAGCAGCAAAATTATGGGTGGCTAACAGTGCCAATGGATTGAAATCAAAAGATTTAATTAAAAGAGAAAACCGCACATATATTAAATTAAAAATTGAGAAAAAATACAAGTACTTGCAAAATGATTTCCCTTTTAAAATGTATACTCTCTATCCTTTCATTGGAAATCGAGAGGAAGGGCGTCATTGAGATAAGACAATAGAAGTTGTGTGAGGAACGCATTAAACTCCCCATCAATCCTTAAGTAACATCATTTAACTAATTTCATTGGATTAAAGAAGGTATAATTATGTTAGTTAATTATAAAAAAATATTAATCTGAATCTCATTATAAGTCACATATAATCTATATTCTCACATACTAGTGAATATATTAAATTGATAAAGATGTTTAAATTTACCCTTATTAAATTTTTTCTCTCTATATTTAAAAATCATTTTCATCTCTCTTTCTCCCCTCTTTCTCTCTTTACAACAAGAATTAAATAAACGTAAAATTAAAAAAAAATCATTAAATACCCTATAAGTAGTTTATATTTAGAACCAAAAATTTTTCCTACAAGAGACTTAGAGAGTGGTATGATATATTCTTCCTAAAATACCTTTGTTTAAAACTAGATTTATCAAAGTCTACAATGATCTCTTATGTTTGATGCTAATTTATAGAATTTTTCGTAAATAAATGTTTTATGAATTTAAAATATTTTTTTTCTTTCATGAGATGATTGATAGACTTAAAATGAATTTTTAATATTTAAAATTTCATTTGTTTTATTCTTGTTTTCCTTTTTTTCAAATATTAATTTTTTCTATCAAGTAAACATCTATTTGGTTGGATAAAATAAAAATGAAAGCTTAAATTTTTCTAGCCACATAAAAATACATTGAGATTGATATTTTACTGGACTACTTTTTGTGAGGAAAAAAAATCAATTAGTTTGAATGTGTATCTCCATAATAATATTTTCTTCCAAAAATGCATAAAATTATTTAAATAAAAATAGTAGAATATATCTGTGTGTGGCATTAATAAATTTCTCTACAACAGCAAGCATTACTCGTTTTATAGAACACACAGGTGTATTATTAAATTATTGTTGTATTTAATTATTGTTGAGGGAGTATTATTAAGGGTAACTTGGGAACAATAATAAATATGAAAAATATATATTGCATCACAGACTAATACCAAATTTATAATTAAATCTCACATTAAGAATCAAAGAAACAATATGTTTAAAAATAAAGAAAGTTCTTACAATTATAATTCCTCTCGTTTTAAAGCAGGTCTTTAAAACTTTTTACCCTTTTTGTATGATTTTTAAGTTTCTATTATTAAATTCATTTGTCCCTCTTTTTCTAATTTCATGAGACGCTAGTTTATAGAGTTAAAATGAATTTTAATGTGTAAAACTTCATATTTTTATTCTTTATTTCTTCTCTTTAGAGATGAATTTTTTCCATCAAGTGGACATCTTGATTGGGTAAAACACAAATGGAAGCTTATAGTTTTCTAGCCACATAAAAAATATATTGAGATTGATATTTTACTGGACTATTTTTTTTGGGGAAAAAAACTCAATTACTTTGAATGAGGTTCTGCAAGAAAATACTTTTAAAAAAATCTTAAAATTATTTGTCCTCCCTCAATTTATCCAATAGTGTGGGTTTGGAAATATGTTAGTGAGCTCTAAGCTGACTTCTCCAATGCA